ACAGTCGGCCCCTACTCTTGAAAATCCGCTCAGAACGCCGCTTCCTCATCAATACCACTTCCTTGCGTCTTGTCTGTCCTACAGACGACGACCCGACCCGTCACCCCTTTGCCAGTTGGCCGCTTTCGCCGCGTCTGACCCAGGCCTCGACTTGATGACATCGCAATTCAGATCGATATTTTTCCTGCAACGATTGGCCGCAGCCAGACCAACTCCACCCACGCGTACGCACTTTGCGCCGAGACGAACAATAATAAGGCACTACGCTTGTTAAAACAATTCATTATCGCTGCCTTTTGAGCCGATGGTGCTCCCCCAGCCGCAATATAGTTTATCCCGCCAACTGTCCCTCTGAATTTTGATTTGGAAAGTCTTTTGTTGACCCATCATGTTTCGCAATCGGTGGTACCTTACGAATGTCAATACTTCTTCTCCATCTTCGACATAGTCAGGCGATAACAATGGGCAGCTTTCCACCAGGAATGCAACAAATCTTGAAGCCTAATTTTGCTTTCTCTCTCAGCAGCCAAACTTACTCGGATGCTTGACCGGCTCATGGAGATGCATGGCTATGTAGCATCTAGGCGGTGAGAGTACTCGGAGCGCTACAATCATCAGGCCAAATTCCGAGGTGTAGGAAGAGACAGAAGTCACCGGAATGGGGGACTTAGTGTGTACAGAAGTCCTCTCAGGCGGCAATGGCCGTTGGCGAGGCCAAAGCATTTGCTGACGGTGTCAGGTCGCGCCTGGAGTGGTGACAGCTGCTTTTGTGGTTTTTTGGAAAAAGCTCAAGCATTCTCCAAATGGTGTTGCATATGCGGAGGGGTGGTGCCCCAATGGCCTAGGTTGTTGGGGGAGGGGACGATGTGTTCCAGTGAGGCATAGACAACTACTACTGTGTGGACGCATGTCTGAGCTGAAGTTGGTCATGCGGTTACAGGTAAACGCATTCGGAACCGCTCGCTGAAAATGTGAATGGCCTTGAACAAGAACACCAAACGTCGCAGTAGGTTGGGCGGGTAACTTGACCCAAATGTGATTAAACTCGCGTCGTCCGGCGGGGCCTCGTAGCTCAAGTGGTTAGAGCGTTGGCTGTACTAAAGCCTTCCACTTACTGTGTGGGTTCGAATCCCACCGAGGCGCCGAGTTTTTCACAGTTGGGTCAATATGAACACCAAATTTCTCAATGATGGCTGTCGGCAACAGCTACGCCAAATCATCGCTTGTGTCGTCCTCGCTCGCAGACAGCGAGATTTGCACATGAGTTAGCGTTTCTTCAAAAACAGACAACCTACCTTCCATCCCGAGGCTCACGGAGTTAACTAACGCGGAATGACTAGCCTATTTCCTCACATCGCCCCAGAAATATAATCACTTATTAGCACCATACAGTCTCTGGTGCCAGAAGGCCGTCGCCGCACGCCTCCCTGTTCTTTTACCTAAAGGCAGACCCAACCGGTGTAACAAATCGACCCGAAGGTTAGTACAACCAATCGACTTGGTAACTTCAGCCCCGGTCACTTTTTACGCCGGCGTCAACTGGAGTGGCAGGCGTTTATTGATTGGGATTGGCAAGCAGCTCAGTGTCATTCGCATAACAGTAGCCAACCGTCGGTACCTCAACTCCTTCCTCATACTTTAGAACAGGGCAAGTGGAGTAAGTGGTATGTTGTGGAGCATATATTCGGCAAATCGGAACAATGTAACGAAAGGAAAGAGGTAAAATCTGAGCCTCTGAGAGAATGAGAGAGGGAGGACCCTGGCGAAATCCGCAGATTCGGGGGCACAATATAATAATCTGGGTAAGCGTAGTTGATGAAGGGCGTCAAACGTAGCGCAAGCTGTACGACCTGAATTAAAGCTCACTCAGAGCCTCTTCGGTGAGCAGCGGTATAGTTATATCTAAAATAAAACAAAAACAAGAGGCAAGCATGACTTAAAGTTAAGTAGAAAATGACCAAGGCCGAACTTGACGAAGCATAGAATGATCAAAGGTGTGCAGGCTATAAACGTGCTCAAGTTGAAGTACTCAAAAGTCTCAGTACAAACTCTACCACAACACAACTAATGCGTGGGAAGAAATAAGTTGATCAGACTCAAATCATACGCTCAATATACTCAGCACAAAAAAACCTAAAACAGTTTCAAACTATCATAACGCCCTGAAGAGTCGTGAAGTGCAGCGCTGACAACTGACAAGATTACTTGATACTACTCAGGGCTGGCGGCCAGGCCGTAACAGCTCCCTTTTAATTTGGCCTTTGTGGTTCTTTGCCTTATGTGAGATCTGAGACCCCTCCCCTCCCGCCACCCACGGAAGTCTGGTATATGGAGAGTTCGAGTCAAGTTCGTAAGTGGCCCGAGCTGACTTACAGGGTAGCGTCGTCAGTTACTACGCCCATCTCCGGCCGTATTAACACTGTTTTGCTATCGGAACAGGGTGGGCTTTGGAAGAACGAGGTAAGGTAAGTGATGTCATAGTACACTTCACGAAAAAAAATCGCAGGCGAAAGTCACCGGTGCGTCCTGTCATCACAGCTGTCGACAGGCGATTTTATTACAGTACGCGCCGCGGAGTGCCAGAAAGAATAGAGTGGATAGCAGCGTTGCTGAAAAATGCGTCAACAGGTACCAGCAATAGACAATAGGTGGCAAGAGACTAGTACCAGGAGGCAGCACAGAAGAAGATGCGATAGTTGAAACAATTTTATTGGCCTGACGTTTCGGATTCTTACTCGAAACCATCACTTAAGACAGTCATAGGCAAGGGTAATGGAGGCACAAAGAGCGCAGTATTTATAGGACGCAGGTACCATGTAACGCAATGCCTAGTATAATTAGCGGCTTTCTTGTTCATAGCTGGGGTTCATACTTGGTGTTACGATTTCTTGTTGGTCTGCTTCTAAGCCATTAAATGCCGTAATTCGCCACAGTTATCGATTCTTAGCGTGATAATGACCCGAAAATGTTGCTCGCTATCGCCGGAACTGTTGGTCCCCCCAGACGTCCGAGCGTGGCTAATTATTCCGTCCAGGCCAATTTTCGGCACAGAAAATGGGGAGGCGGGTGGTCGTTGCGCTCATTAATCGGCTGTGGACGAGAGAAATAGGACACAAGCAGCTCGCTCCTCCTGCGGTTGCCACCTCTTCCGAAAATTTGGCCTAATAAAACTGGAAGGTCATGTCGGATGAGCCGCGATCTGAGAGTTAGCTCCCTCCCGCTTCACCGCCGCTGAATGTTCAGCTATTCGAGTCCGGAGTAATCTCCCAGTTTCTACGACGTAATGACTTTATCCGCAAGCGCACATGATCCGGTAGACGACTTCAGACGTTTCCTGAAGTGGAAGTGGGTCTTTGGCCTCATTACTTGGCGCATTATAGTTGGTTCTGGTCTGTGCGCAACTCAAAATCCAAGTAGTGAGAGAAAGTTGTCAACTGTTTCCCGGTGCTCTTCATTTAAGGAGGCGGTCGCCAAAATTTAAAGCCGGTGAGGTTTGATCTCTCATTTCGTTTGCGTATGCATCTGTTGACAAGTTGCACTGGCGGTCATTTGCTTTGAGCACCCCTCAAAAGTATTGCAATTCGGCAAATGTGACTTCTGGTTTGCCGCAGGGCGTCTGAACAAGCCGATATAGCTCTTCATACCTCCACCTGCAACTGTCCCTGACGATGAGTTCGGGTGGGATTCCGAGACATCAGGCCAATAAACTTGTTCCATCGATCTCCTCTTCTTCTTCTGACTACCAGTAACATTTCCAATGTGAAATTCCGTAGAAGGAGCATTCCATATGGCAGCTTAGAAATCAGAGTCCACGCAGGCTGCAGCTAGTCACCAACGTCCTCGTTTTGCCTTTCGCCGCAAATTTACTCCTGGACTTACCAACCACTGCCATCTACAATAGTAACAATGACTCCAACTTTTAACGCACACTTAGGGCTTGTGTAACTCTATTCGTGAAAACCCCTCGCGGCCTGCTTAATACGATCTATCAGGTCTTCACTCATCACACAAGCCATAGATTGAATCCACTGAATATAGTTATCGTTGGTTATGGTGGACGAAGTATTACTGTCCGTGGAATACTGCTTACTGGAGTGGTTCCCACTCCTGGCATTATTACCACGTGTGCCAGAATATCGAAAACTGATACAGAATTCAAGGACGAAAACGCTATTCCGTTGAATTCTGCTGGAATGAGCTATGCCGATCTTCAATAGACCTGAGAAGCTAAAATCAGACAGTTTTGTCCTACAGCGATTAAAATTTTTCATATTGTTTGCTTCTTACAGTTATAATACGTGTTCTTTTAGAAAAACTGCATGCTTTGCGAGAGGAAGGGCACCCTTGGTATTAGTTTGCTTGGAACGTTTCGAAGCCTTAAAAATTTCTCGAAATTTTTTGTTTCATAAATGCCCTAGATGAAAGCTTGGTAAGATGTGGTTATGTGGCCCCGCCTGATGGACACTAATGTTTGGGGTGGCGCTAGGAGTTCGAGTTAGGGGTTAAGGTAACTATTTCTCAACCACTCAAAGCACAAGCGCGCATTCCCAATAGTTTTTCATTTGCATACAACTACTTGACCTCGTCACCTGTGAATTCCCCGGCCCTATTACCACCGGTCCCGTATTACAGGTGGCTGGGGTTTGTTTACTTCAGGTGGGGCTACATAACCACATCTGACCGAAAGCTTTTCTTCTGAAGAGCTTCTAAAGAAGCTTTTTGTCAGGGGTCTCCCCGACAGTTTACGTAATGATCATGGGGGATACTTGGACAAGTATTTTTACCTCTCGAATGCAAAAATGAAGTTAACTCACCAAAATGATTTTCCAATTGCTGTAGCAGTGGCTCATCTTCAGGACCCGCAAAATTTATAGCTAAACCGTCCTTTCCAAAGCGGCCAGACCGACCAATCCGATGGAGGTAAGTTTCACAGTCCACTGCACCTTGACGATTCAGGGGCAGGCGCCAGTTGATCACTAAATTCACTTGTGGAACATCCAGGCCTCGAGAACAGAGGTTGGTGGTAATCAAGACGCGGAAATCGGCGTTGCGGAACTGTGAGATAACAGCTTCCCTCTCATGTACCTCCAGTTCACCGGAGAGGAGTTTCACCTTGTGGCCATCAGCAGTCATTCGCCTCTCCAACCATTTGGCCTCCCGCCGCGTCTATAATAAAAAGAGGCATCAGGTAGATGCTTTGCACGAAGGAGGAGGCCAGATGCATCTACAAGCGGCTGGGAAGGTAAGAGGGCACGTACCGCACAAAATATGATGGCCTGACCAACGTGAAAGGAGCCGTAGATCTCAGCGAGACGCGCATATCTGACATCCGAAGACGGTGAGAGGATGTAGAACTGTTTTATGTTGGTCAAAGTCAACTGATTACGCCGAACGCGAAATTCTACTGGGTTCGGGATTATTGAGTGGGCGAATTCGAGCACATCCTCATCGTAGGTGGCCGAGAACAGGAGAAGCTGACAGCCAGGCGGCAGATGGCTGTAAGAAATGCGCAGTGCACGATATGACAATAACAGTAGTGATCCTCGGTCCGAGGGGCCGCAGTTACACCGTCAGTTAGCTTTTTAAGCCATGATTGTCAGGGCTTCCAGATGTTTTAAAAGAGCGTCAGGTTTATTTTAGCAAAGGGGGAGCAGCGGACTGTAAACCGCAAAAATTATTCCAATTAGTATCAGGCAGACGTCTCATTTATGACAAGTACTCACGCTACCTTGAACCTAAAATTCTCCGGTGGATTTTCGACATTTTCATACAACCCTGTTGAAGTGCAAACTGTCAGTCAGAACGTCACTAGTGCAGGATGATAGTTGGCAAATAGACAATGAGAAATGAGGACCTACGAACATGGCACGTTCAAAAAATCTACAAGTCGTATGAACATGAGTCGGCTGTGATGTCAGTCTGACATTGACTATAAGCTGGCCGTAAAAAATACGGCATTAGAGGGTCTGCTGTCGTAAGTTTGAATCCCACCGGGGCGCCGAGTTTTTCACAGTTGGGTCAAAATGGATAATACATATAGAAACACTGAACACGTCAAAGTTGGCACAATAAGACCTAACCCTGGAAGTCGAAATTGTAACATGCCCTCAGAAAACGAAATAGCGAGGTTTCCTTTGCAACGAAGAATTAGAACCTATTATGCCAATAACAGAAGCCCAGCTAAGGCTGTACAGTTTATCAAAAATTAACAAACCCAACCTAAAGCAGCCAATAGTAGACATGTGTAACTCGTCTTATAATACAACTGCGAAGTGGGTGGGCGAGGCACTTAAGACGATTCGATGCAAAGTAGCACAACGCAGCCTATGGAACACCTTTGAATTCATCGATTTCTTAAAAAATACAAATTTCGATGGGAAAACGATTTTCTCCCTAGGCGTCTCGTCTTCGTTCACTAGTATTTTTCTCACGGAGACGATAGAATATATACGTGGTGAGATTGTGGAACAGAACGCCTAAATTGGCATAAAGGCAGTAGCCCTAAAGGTGCAGTTCTTCCGTTGCACGCTAAATGTCCAATTCAGATTTGATGGTCAATATCACCGCCAGATCGAGGAAGTAGCCACGGGATTATCCCTTGGATCCCAACTAGCGAATGTCTTCATGAGAAAATTAAAGAAGGACCAGTTTTACGCTGTTGCATGGGACCTCGATGAGTACATACGATATGTTTACGACACTCTTGTAGCAACGGGTAGGGATTCTCCGTCTTGGAGAGAAGAGTACGCTGCCCTTTCAGGCTTCTCCAATCTGCACCCACGTCCTCACCTGCTTCCGTGGAGCAGGCTAGTTTGGTCGAACGACTAGGCACTTATCCCAGGGAAAGCGAGAACACTGTTCCGTCTGGCTAAATCAGCAGGGAAAAGCCTATTTCTAGCGCAATCGTGGCTCACCTGGTTGACAGCGGTCATCGGGCAGGTGTCAACCAAGCATTTCGAGTTATCTACTAAATGCCGACGAGACTCCGAATTCCTGTGTCAGCGGATAATTTCTACAGTGACAGCAGTTGGCATATGGGTATTCAACCTAATCCTGTATTAGCTGGCGTTAGTTTAGCCCTTCAGTCACCCTGGCCTATGTCGAACTCCACATTTTTTTCTTTGGTAAGCATGACCCACTACCACACCTCCCTCACCCCTTGGCAGAACTAGACCATACTTCCTTCCCGCCAACTTGTTCAGATGCGTCTAGACACCAGTGAAACCTTATCGTCCTCACCCCCCTCCCACTATTACTGTTCACTGGCTGTTTTTCAACTTTAGCTGCTTTACCAAGGCGTATATTACTGTGCTAGTCTGATGATTAATGATCGAAAAAGTACGTTCGTCGACCTTGGCTTCTTCGATGTTTCTACTTTGCATGTTTAACTATCAATGTCAATGACTAACTTAGCTGCAAGTCCCGCATGTGACCGAAGTGCCCAAGGACAGACAACATTCCCCGCTTTACGCCGTGATCATGTGAGACCAACTTTTAAATTGTGAGAACGAGCTGGAACCCTCACTGGCGGTTACATAATGACGACCCATTCGTAAACAGAAAGTATTACCGACAAACAAAACGGGAACTAGAACGAGCGCTTTCGGTCGTCGACCTGCTAGAACCTAGGCCGGGGTTTGGCAGAATTGATGCCTGATTGGCTGACAGCGAAAGTGCCCGTTCTAGTCTCCTTTTTCCCTGTCAGTAACGTCCCTCGAAGGCCTTTGGTAGTTGCGGCGAAAACTCCGCCCTCCCCGTGCGACACCACTGGTGGGGTGGCAGAAAGGGGGCGCAGGAGTGGGAACGGTGTCACCACTTGTCCTAAGCAAGTCGTTTTTGTCTTGCCGACGGCCATCGACCCCGCTACGAAACTGTCAGTGTTGGTAATACAAACACCAATCTCCATCGTCATTTCTACTTGCGTTCGTGCTCCATTTGACTTGTATCTGGAGCTCCCGAAGTTGAGAGGAGTCTTTCCTTGGGGGGTTCATAATGAACTGCTTTAAGGATTGACCCCCCCCCCCCCCGTTAGATGAGGACAGACTAAGGAACTGCGACGTCTCCCTTTAAAAGCATCGGACCTAATGACTCGAATAACGGTACATCGAAACAGACCTGGTAAGTGAGCTTCTAGCTCGCCCCCTGTGCTAGGGGTAAACAGGGAGGGTATGCTTCGTGTTGCAACCAGGCGGAACCATTGACTAGCTCTCATACAAGAAACTCGGTACCCTTATGTCAGTGGAAATTATAACTCCATTTACTTTCCTCGACACTACCGAGCTTGGTTTTTGCCTTAAACAAATCAGAAACAAAATCTGTCCCTTACCTTACAATGCGACGAGAAATATGGAGGAAACCATCCTCCTCCATCATAATGTCCGCCTCGTCCAATACAAACATTTTTAGAGCCTGGCGGTCGATTCGAAATCGGCCAGTGCCGCGCATCCATCCTGCGACGGTCCCTGGCGTGCCAATCAGAATGTGGCTTTTCACATAATTATCTTCATCGACGTCAGCTAAAATTACAAATACTACGGTGAGAATACCGCCATTTTATCAAGCTTGACTCGGTCATAAATGTAAATTTCAGTGAAAAATTAAATCCGCGGTGCTGGTGGTGGTGGTGGTGGGGGGATTGAAACATGGCCAGCGTGGTACTGAAGACTCGTTATGGTGGTTGTATTGAAGCCGATGAGTTTGAAAAAATTTACTTACGGATTTCATCCCGCACTGCCAGACCGATGTGAAGCCCGTCGATGAACTGCGCCATCTGACGGCCCACATTAGCAATCTGCACGGCCAATTCACGTGTTGGAGCCATACAAAGGCACTGGCATTTGGATAAGGAGACATCTACACGACTGAGCATAGCCAACAGGAACGTGGCCGTCTTTCCGGTGCCTGACTGGGCCTGAGCGATCATGTTGCAGCAGCTGGATGGGAAAGGTGAAAAAAGAAATCAGAAACCGAACCAAAATAAATTCGCCGGTGTCCTGCAAGATGGCGTTGGTGGAATTCACAAACCTAACTGTAGACAGCCATTTGGATAACGCGAACAGGTCCTGTTTTGTCTGTGTTACTAACACAAGGTCACTGTGGCGTATTAGCTGATGTACTGAATTCTGGTCAATAAGATTTTCTCTATCGCTCATTATTTCACAGTGACGTGGTCTACTTGCCGACAGGCTTGCGCGAGACATAAACCTGAGCAGTGACCAGAGTTAGAGGCTAGTCAGAGTTCACAGCCGGGACAGAACAATAGGGGCTGAGCATCAACGTGGGACGGCGGTCAGCTTAAAGTCGACGTAACTATGTTAAAATGTTTATTAGATCGTGTAACTACGATGAAAACGCAATGTTGAAACCGATCATGACACGTAGTCAGGGTGCCAAATAAGGGACGGGTGGAATGGTGGCAGAACAGCAACACAAGTATGGAAATAACGCAATGAGGCAGGTCGGAAGCCTTGCTTTAAGTCTAATAATCCACCAAGAAACCTGGGAAAACCCCAACAGCTCCATATTAACAGAGCGCAGTCAACGCTCACATTGACTGAGTGGGTCACTGCATCCACCACAGCAACAAAAGTAACGAGGAAACTGTAGGGAGAAACATTGTCGTTTACTAAATCTCTGTTGCCCAAACCTGCTGGTATTGTGGACGCAGGTCCCGAGCTCGGATAACCCTGGCTGGATGCATGCGTGTACGGCCCCTCACAACCAACACAAATCCCCCAAAAAATCTCGTTCGTCCATGTCAATGAGTCCCCAGGTTTCCGAGCTGATTGTTGAAGCTGTGCTCCAAGGCCTGGAAACGCAAGCGACCCAGACGTACCAGTCCAAATTTTGAGCCAGTCATGTCAACGACACCTTCCTAATTAACCAGCCAGAGGGGGTCGAATACTCCAAGGTCTAACTCGACCCGGTTGTCCCCGATGTGGGCCACAACCAGGAGAAAAAGTACAGTAACGAATTTTCTCGTGCATGTTTTCGCCAGGTGCCAACCTAAAGCCAACGTGGGACCACAGTCTGGCGAAAACCAACGAGCACAAGGCAGGTTGTACACTTCAATAGCAACGGTCTACTACAAAAACAAGCGATGGTGTGTAAGCACAGCTAACATACGAGTGGACACTCACTACGGCAGACCGCCAAGGGGACTGAACTGGACCACCTCGTGAAGCAATTTAGAGGTAACGAATACCCGCGGATGTTCGTTCAAATGAGTCGATAATCAAAAAGAACTAACAAAGTCATATCACGGAGAAGTATCTCATGTGTAGGGCGTTATCAGAAGCCGCTGCCAGACTGGTGGGGTCACTCAGGGTCGACATTGCCTACAAGCCTGACGCGACTTTTCAAAGTTGGTCCCAAACAGGAGAAGTCGCCCGTCGTCTTCTGGCTACACCGCCGGTGTAAAATTAAACGATATTGGAGAAACCTGTCGGTAATTACAAATTTGCCAGCACCAGCCGGCTGAACGAGGGCCCAATCGAAATTCAAAGGTGGCGACGCACACTACCCCGGGCGGTTACGAGATAGTGCGTCGGGGTGATAACCACGCAACCAGACGGAATCGTGAGACATGGCTACCAGACGTCCACCGATCAGCCAATAACTTCAACTCCCGCAAGCTAATATGGCCTTACAGGCTGGGCTGGCTCACTCTGGTGGGGGACAGGCTCGCTGGATGAAGACGCGCAACACCCTCTCCCCTTTGCGACCAACTCGGCAGACGTCTCAGCGCCTCCCGCCAGACCCAGATAATAAACCTGAGCACACGGACGTAAACTGACGTACGCAGCAGAGATTTTATAATGCGGCCGTGAGATGCGTCCGTCAGTCTTGTGAACGGCTTCACATGTTCGAGAATGCAAGTCCAGAACAAAAAGCTGGCTAGATGACTGGACTCTACCCATGATCAGTTAAGACTGATGCTTAAAAGAATTTGGAGCACTGATTGATATGGAACACAATTGCAGGTTACTCCACGCATGACGGCGTGCTGCCCTTCGGATAAGCACCCTTCCAGCCACCTGTGAAAATCACAAGTGGGGAAGCGACCTTGCTCAAGAAGTGGGGCTTTGGACTATCGATTTTCGACCTCTACCTGAATTTAACACTCACGTAGATGGGATGCACAAAAAATTGGATTATTATACAGCGTCTGTGGAAATTCCCACTTGGCTCCAATCCCGAGATTCCAAAATGTTTGTCGATTTTTGCGGATTTTAAACGGCGCCTGCGTGTACGTTTGTTCCTGAGGTTGTCAAACTAAACACTACCTAATATGAGAGTGGCGTTCAGCGATCGAGCTTGCTTGTAGGACAAAGATGAGCACAGATGTATTCCCACCAAGTCGACTAAGTACTTTGGGCAAATTATAAGACCGGTGCAAAGATGGGAAAACCAATGGTGTGAAAGTGACAGGGGTGGTTCAGCAGTGTTCAGGCCTAAACGACAGGGTGATGGGGAGCGGACAGGGAGGAAGTAACAGCACCTACCCACCTCACTCATTCCGTCCTCCTCCGACGAAGCTGTCAGTCCGACCTCGCTCGATAAAATTCCCATTTGTGTCCCGCGGCGCTTTTAACTCTGCCCTCCCCCCCCCCCCTTCAGAGTCCCCAATCGCGAAAGTAAACCCCAGAAAGTTTCCTCCAACTCCTTAGCCGCCACTTCTTCCTCCCACCCAGCAATGAGCACACAAGCTTACCACGCAATAACATGGTAGGCATGACGACCACCGATCTAAAACACACGTTTGCCCCATGCAGGCTTCAAATAATTTGGACGGTACACATAGCGGGGCTGAGAAAATTAGCAATTAACTTCGTGTTACTACGAAGAAACCTTCTAGTGCTCAAAAAAATACCACAATAGGGATGGACAGTTAGTATTTTGTAAGAAGTACTAAGTCCATAGATGTTTGGCGTATCTCATGAAAAATTAATCGAAATCCTGAAATATTACTTCTATCAAAAAGGATTTCTTACGTGGAATTGTAAGATTGAGTAAAACATAGCGTAATCCCGTGATATTTCTGTCAAACCAGGATGCCGGCTTTTGAATCCGCGTCTTCGGCAGCCTGTAAAAATCCGACTTGCCAGAGGGCGGCCAACTCATTTTCAACGCCTTTATCCCAACGCAATTTATAAAAAGCATCGACAGAAATATCTCAACTTTTACTCACTTAATAGTGGACTACATCTTCTCCCAGTCTTCTGTGTGGAAGGGGTAGCTTCCGCTCTTAAAAAAAGTTTTCGATTCCTTATTAACTTTAAATCTGACCCCCCGTTCCGCTAGCGTCTAAGGTTCCTAAACTACAAGCTATACAATTTTTACCTAGGGAAATTCACACATTCCTGTGCGTTAATAACGTCTTGGAAGCCGTCAGCCGCCTGCTCCCATCACTCGGAGTTGAAGTTGCTCACAGACCAGGAGCCACTATCAGACGTCCATTCATAAGACCAAAAGGCCCATGCTACAGCAGGAGACGTACTAGCTGACGAAGAAATTACGTCGTGGAAGTTTGAAGAGTACCCTGGACGCGAATGGTCGGGCATGCAGCAACAGTGGAAAGGAATAACGCTAGCTCTTAGGTCGCGACTCATCCAACGGGACCCGGCCGCACATTTAGGTTTGATGAGGTCGGAAATCTCGCAAGGAGCGACAACCACGCAAGCCCCAAACCGCTGGAGTCATGGATCGCTGGTCACCAGTCGATCAACAAGCGCAATGGCCTCCTGTTCACATATTCTGTGTTGAAACTGCCTGAGCAGAGTAATTAGCCATGTGGGGAGGCGCGGACGGTCGACAGTTCCAATAACAGTGAGCAAAACTGCCGAGTAATCATCACGCCAATAATCAACAACGATGATGAAACCACAGCCATTAACGACTTGGGTACAGATCGACAAGCAATCATCGCATAACATATGATCCGCGGCGATGAATGCGGGGAGTATTAACTAGTCGTTATGTGGTTGCGTGATCACTGCGTCCTATAAATACTGTAATCCTTGTGCCTCCATCATCCTTATCTGTGACTGTGTGATGATGGGTTTGAATGAAAATCCGAAACGTCTAGCCAATTAAATTCTCGTTCCAGCGATCGCATCTCCAGCTTCCGACTTCTTAGAATCACCAGCAGCCAGGGTGCATACTCATTATCTTTCGGAAATTCTGCAAACAACTAAAAGAAGTCAACAGACGACTTGTCCATTCTGATCATTATAACCCTTCGCTCGATTATCTCCAATCAACTGCTAATTCTTCAGCTAGCTGACGCAGGTGTACTCCTGCGTCAGCTAGCTGAAGAATTAGCAGAGCCACTTTCTATAATCTTCCAAAAATCGCTGGAAGCTGGCAAACTACCTGACACATGGAAGTTGGCAAACGTCGTACCTATCCACAAGGGAGGATCACGGCTATGTCCCACGAACTACCGGCCGGTTAGTTTGACATGCATTTGCTGCAAACTGATGGAAAGGCTAGTTAAAAAATCTATTACATCACTCGATACTTTCCGCTGTCACATCGCCTCAGTTCAACATGGCTTCTGCGAAAAGAGGTCCTGCCTCACAAATCTGCTTTCGTCACTAGAACATTGGTCAAAGGCCATGGATAAAGGATATCCAGTTGATGTCATTTACTTTGACTTCAGCAAGGCGTTCGATTGCGTCCCACAAAAGCGCCTCATTCAAAAGTTATCAGAAGTAGGGATAAGAGGAGATCTTCTGAACTGGATTCAAGATTTCCTAAACGGACGGCAACAAAAAGTCACTGCGGGCGGCTACTGCTCAGAATGGGCACCTGTTACGAGTGGAGTCCCACAGGGGTCAGTTCTTGGGCCGCTCCTATTCATTATCTATGTAAATGACCTGGTACGGGAGGTGAAATCAGACATAGCACTCTTTGCAGACGACCTTAAACTTTGGAGAGCGATAAAAGATGAAGATGACGTCAGGATGCTACAAGAGGACGTAACGAATTTGCACGCATGGAGCGAGAAATGGTGCATGAAATTCAACGTCAAAAAATGTGCAGTAATGCACGTAGTATCAGCGAGGCGAAGAACAAATGCACCCCCACGACAATATCTCCTGGACAATCAACCACTTAAAACCGTAGATGTGCAAAAAGATCTCGGTGTGTTCATTAAAGACGATCTAAGCGTCACCACGCAGTGTTCTAAAGTCGCTGCGCGGGCAATGTCCGTTATGAGCGCGATACGCAGAACGTTTATTCACTTGAATAAAGATGTCTTTGGCAAAGTATACGGGACATTTGTGCGGCCGCACCTGGAATATGCGGTACAGGCTTGGCGGCCGTGGCTTCGGAAGGATATAGATATCCTTGAAGGTGTACAACGGCGTGCTACAAAGGCTGTTCATGGCCTCAAAAACTTCACGTACGAGCAGCGCCTGACGGCCTTGAACCTCTATCCCCTCCACTACAGGCAGGACAGAGGTGACCTCATAGCAACGTTCCAGTTGGTAAAAGGACTTAATCTGGATGTCGACTGGGAAACGTTTTTTGAAATGGCACCCAAATCCAATCTCAGACGACATGATTACCAGCTTAAAAAGGAACTGTGCCACACAAATCAACGTTCCTCCTTTTTCTCACAGAGGGTCATTCGCCAATGGAACTCTTTGCCGGAGTTTGTTGTTAATTCCCCTACCGTGAACGTGTTCAAGAGACAACTGGATACTCACCTGCTGAAAGGCAACCCAAACTGCCGAAGCCTGATCTAACGGATTATTTAAATGACTATAAATATACTACTCACAGGATTTCAACAGATCCTATTTTTTGCGTCAAACTTAGCCCATATTGAAATTTTCACAGTCCGAATGTGGTGAACAAAGTTTTTCGCAATTATTTTGCGAATATAATACCCCTTTCACCTTCATGTTACATTATTAGATTTATGAATTCTCCTACTAAAACTGCAAGCAAAAGTTTTGCAATTTAACTATTTTACTTTATACCTGTACCCTCTAAATGGAGTTTTCATGGCTTCTGTTGTTTACTCCAAATATACTGACTGATACTGACTGAACTTCACTGTGGGAAAATGTATTGCAATCCTCTTTTGCCGGCAAATATACCAAAATATGCAGTATGGTCATGTTCTCCAAAGCAGTATGGAGTGTATGGGTAATCTGATGACGGGCTTGTGTGAAAATCCGAAACGTCAAGCTAACAAACTTTCGGTCGTCAGAGATTATTTCGTATCGATAGATGCGAACAGGCGAGTTCCAGAAAGCAGTTCAGAAGACGAAGATGCAACCACTGGAACAAAAAATGTCGGTCTGACGTTTCGGATTCTCATTAGAACCCATCGTCAGAGACAGTCGCAACTTCAACAGCAACCACCCGATCAGTCATAAACGCAGTTGTGTAAGGGCGCTATACCGACGCGTTGAGACGCATTGCAGTTAAACGGAAGACAAGGTTGCTGAATTACAATATTTTCGATGGGTACTAAGTGCTAATGGCTACCCACGCAACTTTGTCAACCTGTGCATACGAAAACAACACCAGAGACCAAATCCAACCGGCCCCGAATTTTGGCGGGCTCTTCTGTACGTGAAGAACGTCCCAGACGCCGTCAACCGTCTTCTCGCTTCACTTGAAGCTGGGGTTGCACACAGGCCGGAAGCAACCATCGGGCGCCAAGTCATGAGGACGAAAGACCCACTGCCACGGCCGAGAACGTCAGGAGTCATTTACCGGATCTGGTGCAGTTGCGGAAAAAGTAACTACGTCGGAGAAACTGGGAGATTACTCCAGACGCGAATAGCCGATGATGGCTTCGAATGAGAATCCGAAACGTCAGGCCAATAAATTCCTTGTTCCAGTGATCGCATCTTCGTCTTATGAATTCGTACCCCTCACTGACGTAGGCGTTCAGCGAGTAGGATTCTGATGACACTTTTCGTTATGATTCAAAAAAGGAAATATGCACAAGCGAAACCAGCGTAAAAAATTAATTACGTACTTCTCTCCAACTAGGTACGGCAGCGCCTTTTCTTGGATTGTCGATGGATTGTAAAACCCCATGGCCGATATCCCTTTCAGCAGTGGAGCACCACTAAAACATCATAAACCAAGAAAACGTAGTCGTACATACTGAGCTCCTTGAAAGACTTGACGGAATGGAGCGGGTTTGAAGGATCGCTGCGGAGCAGCTCGATGTCACATTCCTTGGTTTCGACAAGCCTGGTACCAAGGAGTTTGTTGATGTAAGAGCGTTCTGCTCTTGACACGTCTAAAAGATGATGATAAAACAAAGTAAAATGTCAAAATCTCTTACCATTTTCTGTGTCCTGGGTGCCATTATGCGATGGCTCTTTTTGGTCTTCGTCTCCTCTTAGTGGCGGAGGTGGAGGGACATATGCACCGCTGTCAATGGCGCGCAGTTCGTCTAGGAAACTCTTCCACTTCTCGTTGTCCTGAGAGGGGTCTGCCTGTTGAGTCTGCGAGAGAAGCTACGGCTTAAAGTACTTACTGTCATTTTTGGCAATCGGTCTAGACCTGTGGTACACAGAAAAGATTCAGTAAGCCTCAGCAAATTATGTGATTCAAATCTTCTGATAATAGCTTAATCTACAACCAGAAAAGAGAGATGCGAAACACAGGAATGACTACTGACCTAGAAAAAACTAGAATTCCGTAAGATGTAGAATCAAAGACTGTTGTAAAAACGGCGAAAGAGACAATAAAAATGAGCACTAACCAGAGCGGGCATAAGAAAAAAAACTGTAATTCTGAACTATTTAGCTGTGCTGGAGATTCTGATAAGCACGAATTTTTCAGTGTATACACAGCCAACAAACCATCGTCAAGTTTGCCGACATCAACCGAGTCGGCGTTTTGCGGAGTACCTTCCTTCGCCTCCTAAGATTCCTTGTAGAGGTCATTTTCAATGCAGATTTAGACAGCTCCAACGTCCGAAGCAATATGGCGTTTCACAATACATGCTCAGCAATTCACAACTTGGCCATCGAAAATAGTTTTCCTGAACACGAAAGACCCGAGAAGGCGAGTTGCCCGTTGGCTGCCCGGCTGCCCGGCTGCCCGGTACGTTCACAAGTGGCGGATAGTGGGACAACCATCAGCGACAGTTAGCTGCTAAATAGGCAGACTCTAGGGTCTCGCGAATAAGCAGTCGTGGACCAGAAGCGACAATACTACCAGTGCACGGAGGGCAGAGGTCTGGCAGGCTGACTGCCTCATAAAATGTCGTACGTGGCATAACAATTGCTGTAGTCATCTCTTAAAATGAAGTTCGACCTCGTTGAACTTGAAGGTGTGGCCCTAACCTCGATGAATTCGTCGCGACCTGAGAGCCGACGTCATTCCTCCTCACTGGTACTGCATGGTCGAACATCTGTTTCCAGAGTAATCTAGTTTCTTAGTCCCCGCGGTGCGTCGGTCGAACGTCGAGATTAAATTTTGATCCACCTTACCCAACAGGGTCACGTTAATTTTGTGTCAGCGTTTTTACACAGTCGCATCTGCGTGGAGTCACTTCGGTAAGCATTTGACATTCCTGAGGCAGTCTGCACTGTCCATTCCGAAGTCGGAACTCCCCTCAGTAGCAGACACGATAAGAAGGTGTTGCTTTCTAATTTCCTCAGAAATTAACCGCGAACTCGGAGTAGATCAGTATATTCTAGTGTCTATAGGAGTAGACAAAAATGTGATGTACGAATACCTGATCCGAAGTTCATCAGCCACAGCGGATAACGCGTAATATTCATTAACTGTTGACAGGAAGATAGTAGTATGCTTTAGGCTAGGAGACACTTCCCACTGATGAGCCAAACCCCTCGCAGCTGTGCAGTGCAGCGGCAGCATATTGGCGAAACACGCGTGTATGGGCTTTTGGTTAGTACTTGTGCTGCTAGTATGGTATATATACTATATGCTGCCTATCGGCAGTTAATGAATAGTACGCGGTTATCCGCTGTGGCTGATGGACTTCGGCCCAGGTATTTATGCAGCAAATTTTGGTCTACGCCTATAGACCTTAGAATATGCTGATCTACTCCAATTTTGCGGTTAATTTTCGAGGAAATTAAAGAGTAACAATTTCTAAATTGAAATATCTACCAGAAAAAGACGGGAAATGCTGGGGGATCCACTGCCTCATAAAGTACAGCAAAGCCTGATGACGACACTGCGACATGTCAATCATGAACCGCCACTAGCTAAGTTTCATTGCCACCGTTGTCTTCTGCTTAGGTTCTTGCACATAAGCGCCGGAGGAGACAACCTCGAATAAGCTGAGCGCCTGTGTACACCCGTCTGTATTCCAATCTCCCAATAAACGTGAGGAAAAGCTTCGATTACGATCCATGCTACGGTTTCCAAGGAATGCAACGCGCTCCGCAACCCTGATTCAGTGGTGCGGCCGAATAACATGCGAGCTGGGTTGTTCAATCGAAATCGGGCTCTTGTTATGGGATGTTGCATTGTGCGAAGATTTCCGGACCCTGGTACAAAAAGTCGGACGGCGCGCAGCCTTTATCTGTACAACGTGGATGTCTGCTGCCTGTCTGAAGTCCGGATCTCCGGCTCAGGTGCAAGGGAAATAAAGATCCCAGGATTCAACACCCAACAAGCAAATCGTTTACTACTTGCACGGGGACTAATCAATGGTTAGATGGCTTACGTGCGACTGGGAGATCACATTACGAACATCGTCGTATCCGTGTACGCACCAACACCAGCTGCCGAGCAGGACGATAGAGAGGCCTTCTACTCTCCACTGAAAGATTAGTTGCAAGACTCGCCGTGATCAGCTGACTGTTACCGGGGATAGGGGAATGGCCGGATTGGATCCGGCGACTCTTCGATCACTCCACTAGTCGTTTTGAGCCTTGCGCTTGATGCGACAATGGCGAGAGAATGCCAAATTTTTCTGATTAGGACCCACTGTTTGTCACTAACACGTGCCTCCAGCATCACCACATCATGCGCTGGGCTGGTACTCAAATGACGACTATACGACCAGTCAGGTTGACTGCATTTTAGCCAGCTCAAGCTTCCGTAGCTGGGGTCACGATAACAGACCGATGCGTGGTGCCGAAACTGGTAACACCCATCGGTCTCACCATGTTCTCGTTTGCACATACCTAAAAGTTCACCACTCATCTGTATGCAAAATGCCACCTGCGAGATGTCTCGACTACGCTAAACTTAAGCAACCGATCACTGCACAGGCCCTGAGCACAGAAATACGGTACCGTTTTAAGGACTGAGTGGACGGGGAAGGCAGTGGCGAATGGTTATCACTGAAGTCATCAATTTATGGGACAGCTGAGAAAACTTAAATTCATCTAGCGGCGCCGAAGTGACTGGATCAACGAAAGAACCCAGCTGTTGTCCGCCCAGACGGCTCGAGACAGGTCTTGCAACGATGCTTCCTTCCGCCAGTTCCGAAAAATGACATCAAAATCATCTAGGGGGAACCGGCAGAAATGTTAGACTGAAACAGCGACCTCCATGAAACAGACCCCGAACGTTGGTGGCACTCGAAAACTCTACCAACTTATCCGCCAAGTTACTGGTAAGTCTTCGACACTTTGTGAAGCTGTCCGCGATGTGAATGGCGGCTTTAGTGCTGAAAACTCGACCAAGGTCGGTACCCGGCGCGGACATTTCGAACACCTCCTCAACTTTGATGAGCAACCCATCACAGCCTCGCCCTCCTCCGCAGCGGAGTCTTATCCTTCTTCAACCTATGCAGTGTCGTGTACCCCCCTTCCGAGGGAGAAGTTGCCAATGCATTATAGAGGCTGCGGAACAACAAGGCGCCCGGGGGGGACGGAATTCCCGCTAGAATTTTACAAGTCTCGTGTGGACATTCTGACTCCCTGAATTCATGAGGCGATTGAGCAAGCGTGGAAAGATGAGGTGGTTTCAAATGACTAAGGTTGAGTATTCTTGTTCCTGTCTTCAAGACGGGAGGTAAAACCAAGTGCGAGAACTACAGCGGCATAAGCTCCGTCGACACTGCTGCGAATTTCTTTCCTGTTGTCCACTTCAGGCTATACTTAACTGTAGGCTGAGAAGTGACCATGCCGGATTCCAAGCTGGGTGTGGATGCGCGGACCAGGTATTCACACAGAGGCGCGTTACGGAATTCTGTCAGTGCCATCAGAAAACAATCGTAGTCTGTTTTTTTAACTTTAGCGCTAGCTTTGATTCCGTCAATCGTGAGACCCCGTGGTGAATAGTTGAAATAGATGGTGTGCCGGCCAAAATCCTCTTCATCATCAAGGCCTACTATCGTTCCACCACTGTGCGACTTCTCGTTCATAACCATCTCTTCCAACCATTCGACATCTGATCTGGCGTCCGATAAAGCTGCATCCTGTCAACTACGTCAGTTACTGGATTCTTGAAATGGTCCTACACGGATTTGACGGTATGGAGTTCACACCCGGAGGCCGGCTGACTGATCTAGACTACGCTGGTAATATCGCCTTGTCAGTCTCAAGCTTTGATGTCCACAGTCCATGGTGTTACGGGTGAATAAAGTTCATACTTCGGTCGGTTTGTCAATGAACGTTGCGAAGACCAAGTTTTTTTTCGAACTGCATCTCTGACCAGGAGAAGACACTCCTCAGGATTAATGGTTGTCAACTTGGAGAAGTAGACGGTCACAAATAATTCGGGGCGAGGCTGCTGCTTAATGGGCAGAGCAAGGACGAGGACGCTGCTCACTGGATTTTCTAAATCTTCGAAAGGAGTCTGTGGACCCGACACAATATCTCCATCGCCACAAAGATTCGCAAGTACCGTGTACCGGTATGGTCAGTCCCACTTTCCGACTGTAAATACCGGGCTGTGCGGATGGAAGATGAGCGAAATCTGGATATCTGACCACCGCTGGTTGGGGGCCATCGTTCCCCGGAGTAAACCGACTTCGTCCCAAATAAGTCAGTCCGAACTCGCGCGACAATATCATGAGGATCTCTGGCCATCCAAAACAGACGAATGAGGTGGCTTTGACATGTTGACCTCACTAGCTCAGCGTTAGTGCCGTCGATCCGGCGTCATCACCCGGTTGGAGGAGTCTACGTGGAGGTCAACTCAAGACCTGGCCCGATACCGTTTGTTAAAACATTGAGGTGGTTGTTAGACCTTCGGTATTCGGCTAATGTCAATGGAGAAGAAAAGGGGCCGAGCTTTGCAGGTCTTCTGCGCAGACAGTCAGGCGTGGAGAGGCGCAACCAGCGATGATATCGAGGCCGGCTAGGCCAAGCATGATCAAAGCCGCACCAAGTACCAAGTACACAGAAGATCGTCAGCAGTGCATTCTTTTCAGGTCTGACTTAACCACATTCAAGCACTTCTGATTGGTCGGCAAGGCCGCAGACGAACTTCTTTTAGTTCGGCGGATTGCGAAACCGAAGCATCTAAAGCGATGACCTTTTATTACATTGGGCGGCCCTATAGATGATAGATTTCGACGTTCATGATGGGGTTCGAAATATGAGATCA